CTCTTTGTTATGTCCTGCAACCTTTTTTAGAACAGCTTTGATAATGTGATGGGTAATCTGATGAACATAACATATGAAGTGCTACTACATGAAAATCTATACATAGAAAATATTGGCCTTTTTATTCTAGGAGGTAAACCAGGTTGTATTATGGGATAAAATAATCAAAAGAGGAGAAAATGCTGTGTTAGACTACAGGAGTATGAACACAAAGTATTATTTCTGGGATGATGGTAACGGGTTAAAGTAAGTATTTGGTACAATATTTTATGAGCGAATGGGTCCGGTAGATGAAAAATTGATGATGTAAAAGTAATATGCCGTCTCTTACAGTGCATTGGCAAATAACCTATTTCCTTTAAGATAGTGTCATTTCTTTGCAGCCACATCTATAACACAATTCTCAAATGGAATTAAGAGTCATGGTTAATGAAATTGCATAAGTACGCATTCAGCTTACTCCACTAGAATTATCATTTCAACCTTAAATTTAAAAATATGCAGAAGTAAACGAATTAGCAAACAATATTGACAACTTCTTATGCTTTTAACCCAGATGACAAATTCTCCATTAACTTTTTTTAGAGGCAATAAAAATGTCACACTGTCCTTGTCATGGAATGTGATCCCCAATGCTGGAACCTTGCCCAAGATTAAAGGAGATGGAAGACATGTTTTTGCATTCCCAGAAGAGTATCAGTCAAGCAAGTTTTAGGCAATAAATGCAAGGAATCCCTGTTTAAAGCAACTGATACAGAGGATTTATCAACAGCATGATATAAAGTTGTGTGGTTGTCCAGCATTGAGAACTGGTGGATGGGAGGTACAATAGCTACCACGTGATAAGTAGCAGGGAGACTGTTGTGCTCAAATGCCATAGATTTTATTGTTATTCAAAACGTTATTTCAACTTGGTTAACTGACATTCCTCCACATTTTGTTTTACTCCTGTTAGTGAAAGCAGGATTTTCCCAAATTGATAAAATAAACAGAACTAGCCTGCTTATACTAAGAGTGAAAGATGCAAAAATGTAATATATAAGACTTTCCTTTTGTATGCTATTATTTATGGTCCAGGATAAGTCAAACATGATGCACGTGTCATGTTGTTTAAGTTGCTGTATGTAAAAAAAGTAGTTTGCATCCATATACTGATTTTTTATTGAAAATATCTAATTCAATATAATTTTGAACATTTCTTAATATCTCGTTGGCAGTTTAAACTTGTGAACATGTAACTGAATCAGGATGTAGGGAATCAAGTTTTACAATATTATAACCATACCATTACCAAGATTTTCTTTCATGTCAGTATGCAGTTGTAGCATCTCTATTTATATTTTGAAAAATTATGCATGTATGTGACACTGTTTGTATGAATTTTTTACATAAATGTGTCAAAATCCATTTAGTTTGTTGATATTTGTCAAATGGGCTGTAACTCTTACATTTAGAATATGTAACTATTCAGCAGATATTGCAAGACAACTGACAGTTTAGTAGGCAGAATTTAATTTAAAATAGTCCCATCTCTTACTGGCATGTGAATTTGCTAGTGATATACATGTTTAGCTGCATCAGGACCACAAACTGTCAGAAAGTGGTTCAACCTTCTTTCAGTGGAAGTTGTAAGGTAATTCTGGCTTATTTATGGTCAAGTTTTTTTTCCAGTCACAAATTCAGAAATAAAATTTGCCCATTTTGGAAGCAGAAGATAATCATGTAGTGAATGCCCTCCCCCTCATTTGGCTGAAGAGAATAATTTCAAGAGAATATGTTGCAGGTCTCAGTTCCAGAGAAAATGCAACAACTCCTGGCTTGAGAGAACAATTACTCGGCATTTTCTCATTATCATCTCACTGTTATATTGTTGGACATTTCCTTACACAGGGAGAAAAAGGTTTTTAAAGCATTTTTTGGCTGCTTGATCCGATTTATTCATTAGCACGATGTTGACCTTAAGAGAGTTATGAAGGATGCTAGTAGTAGTGATTTATGTGGGCTAAACAGGGAATCTATGCCATCTTCTTAGGTTTAGTGATAATTACTCACTGAGCAAAAAACACCCTATGTGAAATGTGTAATGGGCAAATTTTTTATAATTGTACAGGAATCCAGCAAATCCTCATTTCTCCCCTTCATTTAGAGTATTTTACTTTAAAACTTCACACAGGTAAACCATAAAAAAAACTTTGACATTGGGAAAATTCTCTCTACAAAAACACCACAACAAAATCATTTCCCTATATTCAAAGTTCTTTATTATTTTTCTACAATGCCAACATGTCCATGTTTATTTATGCAATAAACTCGTATGGGATGGGCTGAATGGTTTGTGGCTTGTTGTATCTGGTCCTGACTGTGTGAGCTTCTCTTGGCTTCTTAGGCTGGAATGAATACAAACATATACTAAGACTTCTGGGGAAATGAAAACCAACAGATAACATTTATATCAACCTCCTGTGTGATTTGGTCTGACAACTTGATACAAAACTAGAGAACATGACACTGTTGCATGAACTTCATTTACCTGTAAGATGATGACATTTCCAATATTCTATCTTAATATGTAATTATAATAAAACTCTGGAGAAGGTACTAAACAGACTTATTCAAGATATAATTACAATTTTGTTTAACAGTCTGAAAATATGCAATAAGATTTCAAATTTCAAAAAGAAATCTTTCAAACATTGGAAAAAATTCTCATTCCTGCTATATTCTTTACCATTTTACCTCAGAGGAGTTTATCAAATTTGCATTAAGAAAAAGTTATTGCCATTCTTTTTATTTTTACACTACTGTACCTGTCTTTTACAGTGGGGAGGTGCCTCTCCTTTCTCCTTAGCCTCATTTTTTATTTTTTCATTCTCATGTACTCTGTTCAAGAAGTCAACACGGCATGCAGAGTGTCTGATGTGCTCAATTCTCACATTGATACGCTTGGCAATAATGCGGCCTCTGAAAGCAGAAATACAGCAAATTGGTGTCAATTTAATAATCAAAGGAACCAAACCTTCCCTCATCAATTGCTGAAAATTATATTATACTAAAATATATAAAATCTTTTCAATTCTTAATTCTATGCATTTTTTGTAGTAATACACCTGAAAACATTTTTCTTCCCCAAACTGGACGAAATATCAGTGTACTTTCATGTAAAAGGGCCACCCCATAGGATTTGCCCACCAAAATGCATTTTCCTGGGGTAAAGAGCAATTTTTTCCTACTCAAGACTTATTGCTTGACCCCTCCCTGCACTTGGATTCAATGTGCTATTCCATTTTTCATTTAATACTTTAGTTTAAAATGACTGACCAGTCAAAGTAGAGGCATCTGCGGTCATGCACATTGCCTCATTTTCACACATAAAAATGGAGGGGTGTTTTGTGTGGCAGCCCTGTGCTATGTATAATACAGGCATTGCCAGCTGGCAATGGCTACCCAAGGAGGCTGAGATAATGACGTCACAAGGTACGCTTCAGATTAAATTTTATCTATAGGGTTTTATTATCTTTCAAGTCTGAGTTTGGAAATGTAAGAGGCTTTACAGGACATGGATATGACTGTGGGGGATTTTCAAATGCATGGAGAGAACTTTAAAAAATTCATTTTGGTGGGAAAATCCATGGGAGTGGCCCTTTAAATTGACTTCAATCCACAGAGATTCCATATGTTGTAATTACCTGACTCTCTTGTTGACAATGATACCCACAGCATGGGGAGTCACGTTATAAACACGACCAGTCTTGCCATGGTATATCTTGTGTGGCATACCCTTCTGAATGGCACCATTTCCCTACAAAAATGAAATGAAAAGGTAATTATAATTAACACACATTGTAAATTAATTTAATTGTTGTTCATAAGTTGAAAAATCTATACCTGGCCTTTTATTACATTTGCTAATTTGGCCAGTGAAGAAAATTTAATGCAAATGGACAATAACATGATACTTCCACAAAAAAATTATTTTATAATAATAATAATAACAATAATTATAATAAATAATGTATTGATACCTGAAAAAGAAAAAAATTCTTTTAAAAAATTGGCAAAAGATTTGAGAAAAGAACCTACTTTGATGTCAACAATATCTCCACGTCTATAGGTTTTGAAGTATGTTGACAAGGGAATGGCACCCTTTGTGCGGAATTTCCGCGAAAACATGTAGCGGGTGCCACGACGTATGCCTTTTGTGTTCGTCATGATGACACCTTAAGGAAAAATTTGGCAAGTACAGAAACAGGTGCATTTAACCTTTAGAAAACAGACCCACTACTAGTTATTTATGATGTACATCTTATAAAATAATACAGCCAGAGTGCACTGTTGGAGAAAGAAATGTCTAGGTTCATACAACTTATAAACAAAACATATTATATTAATGATATGGATAATTCACATTCTTCGTTCAGGTAATGTTTTATCCATTCTTTGCAAAACCCACCCATCGCAATCATTGAATCACACATATTACTTTATTACGTATTTTTGACGTTTATGATATGCTAAATACAACTGTCATGTTCGCCTTCAAATTGTATCGCCTTATACAGCCCAGGTACATCACGATGCTCAGATATTGCACAGCCGGCGTATATCCACATTCCCAGTTGAATCACATTTCTCCATTACTCTGTTACACGATGAATGTATGCCAACACGTGAAGAGAAAATATACCATCAGAAACTTTAACTTTCGTTTCCAAAGTAAACTTATGTTTCTTGTTAACATGTCTTAAGTTATTGTTAGTTATTAAGGGCGATTGGGCAGCGTAAAGAAGAATAATTTGAGGAGAAAGACACATGCACCACTCACAATATGGCTGCTACGGGAAAGAGGGCGATCACGTGACATGAGCACGAGAAGCTAATTTTTCAAGTTAATCTGCTTTATTGGTAATGAGAGACATAATTTAGCGTTAAGAATAGTAGAATTTTCAAGTTCTTTTAAATATAGTATACAAAAAGTTAGATATATAAAAGGTTATATTTCCCATGATCCAAATGTTTACTGCGGAAGGAATATGGCGGATGTTGAAGTGCGAGGATGATCGCCGATTTCTGCGTTAAAATGGTAAGATATCTCAGCTCTGAACACTTAAACAAACATTTGCTGTAGTGCATTCTGTAGAGCTCGGATCTTTCAAAAATGTCAATATAATAAGTTGAAATTTCAAGCACATTTAATGGAAATGATCATAATCTTATTTGGGGTCCAGTAGCCGAAATTTTGACACCTAACTCGCACCTGCATACATCGTACGCCCCGGCCTGAAGACAGTCTGAATGTCATGATAAATTTATTAGTCTTTGCCATTGTATTTGGATTGGCTTTGTGAAGTGAATTTGAAAGTGGCATATATTGCTTAATCATGTTTCCTCCGTAAATAATTTCCAGTTATGTTGATGACGTTAACATTTAAATAGGCCTTTCAGTGTCAGACTTATCATTTAAAAACCCTGTGGGATTTCGCTTTTTATAATATGATAAAAAGTATTATGTGAGTAATTTCACATATATTTGACAATCTAAAGTTAGCTTGTCTGGCTGTGTATTTCTTTACAAGTAAAATATGTATATAGCTCAGCTGTACCATTCAGTCTTTCAATATTTGATTAGTTCCAATCTTTCAAAAAGCAGACAGCTTTTTTCTTGAATAATTTGGTAGAGTTGAGTTTAACTCTTTGTCATATGAAAATATTTTTTCTTATAGGTATATCGGAAAAAGTCAGAATAAGAAATATATTTTGAAAGACAGACTTTACAAAAGTCCAGAAAATCTGTCAGACAAGCATGAAAATCCGGCAGACTGAAACAGAATCTGTCAGACCAAAGCAAAATTATAGAAATATGACAAATTATTTATGTCTTCAGTCATATTTTTTTCCAGGCATAGCCAATACAACTAAAATGGAGTGTTTTCTATTCAAGGGCCAAAATGTTATACTTTTGGATTTTTAAAACTATCTTTAAAGTTAAAAGAAATAACGCACTTTTTACAGAGCCATATTAGGGCAAATATGTCCTTACATTTCAGCCAGAAAGCTCTGATCTCTTGAGTGTATTTTTATCACCTTACAAATATTTCGCCTTTCAAGGGATTTGTTGCATAAGATCCCAAAAGTTCTGTACTTTCGTACTTTCACATAGTATAAAAATTTAGATGGAGAATGGAGATTTTTGAATAGGTTGTCAAAGGGGGTGCCTCAATGGACTGGTCACATATGGGCCAGTGCTGCCTTTAGTGCATTCTGATGTACCTATTTCTTCAGTGCTCATGTGTGGTAGAATTAATCTCTAATTATTTTTGAAGTATTATATATACACATGAGCCAACCCAATATCTTTTGGCACTTTTTGCTAGCTTTTGTTGCTTCTGATCTTATGACCAAATTAAATGTACTATATTTTCTGCAATTAAGGATTTTAATTAAAGGGACGTTTATCTTGGAGAACACAAAATGGCTGATGTTGGTTGTATAAATTAAAATATAATATTGTCATTTTCAGGGTGCAAATGCATCTCAGCTAGAAAAGGAGATTGGAACAGACCAATTCCCAATTAATGAACACTACTTTGGACTAGTCAATGTAAGTATTTGTAAATCTAATTTTATAATATATATATATATTTATCAGTTAAATCTGTTGATGCTATTGTCTAAACTTTCTACTAGTTTGTGCATTTGTTTCTTAAATCTTCCGTTAGTCATTCAGACAATTTTTTTGTCCTGAGAAGAAAGGGAGATGCTATCGATACCATAACAATGAGGATTTTCAAGATGATATGTCTAGTAAAATGTATAGTTGAAAAACCAGTTGAAAAAAAAGCTCTAGACATAAAATGAAACTACAAACAATTGGAGGAAATGAGGAGGAAAAATTGAACTAATTTGCCAGTTTGCAATTTATTTGTGATTTATAATTTTAATTTCTTTGATGATTTGAAATGGAAGAAAAATATTCCAAGAAGATGCATTGGGGGTAGCATGCAACATGTAAGGATATGTCAGCTTATTTCCGGTACATTTGAACTATTAAGCTAAATTCTCTTGCAACAAGAAAATATTTAGCTAGAGTAGACAATGATTAAGTCATTAAAATATTTACATATTACAGTCAGCATTTTCAAATTATTTTGCAGTATGGTTTTCTCACTTTATAGTGTATATTTTTTACCTGTTATCCAAAAGGTTTAGTAGAATTGGATGATAAAAATAAAAAACTTTGTATTTAAACCTGCAGTATACTATCACACATTGTTAAACATTTTGATCTACCACATTGTACATGAATAGTGATGGAGTACATAGTGGATGTAATTTGTGGTTGATTGAGCAATCAGTTGAAACTCCATTATATAATGAGCACAATTTTTACTGTGGTTTCTTGTACAGAAGCTGATTTGCACTGCATCAAACCATGTACTGAGAAATGCCACTGCAAAACAGATGGAAAGTAATTGAGATTGACATACAGAAATGAGTAGAAAAGCTTTTATACAAAAATGGTTCAGCCAAGTCTTATCTAGTCATAGAAAGGCATCTTCTCCTGAAGCATAGTCCATGCAAGTATTGATCGGGAGAGTGATTGGTAATCAGTTGAGTTGACTTTGAAGGGTTTGTTCAGGTTTTAGTTGTATATGGGAATTCATTTTAAGTTGCCTGAGGTATTGTTTAGCCCTGAGAAATTAAGAAGGCAGGCTCGCTATGAAATAAGAAATTGCTTTTGAAATAAATTTGCCAGGTTGTACAAGACCACATGTTTTCTTTTGTAATAAACTTACTATATTTTAGACAATATTTGTCAGTATGATATCTCCTTTAGTCTACAATTGATGTAAAACCTTTAAGTTTGAAACAAAAGAAAAAATTGTGATCTTAGAAATTAATTAATTGCCAATGATTTGATAAAATATTGTGCATTATTTGCCAAATATTTCATGGCTCAAAATTCTGCTCAGTTTGAAGAACCTTGGCTACAAGTCTAAAATGAAATTTGGTTAAGAATATATGACAATTATTTGATCTTTTCAAGGGGGAAAATTGTGAATTTTACAGATACTGTATTTTGTAAATCATAATTTCTTAAAATTATAACATTCCTATTGAGTGGTAACAATATTAAAAAAAGGCGCTCTGTAGTTCTATTCTATATTATAAAAGCACCACAAATGTTATACAGAAATACAACGTTCTTGTTATAAAAATTATGTTTGAAAATTTTTACTCATGTTCTAGTAAAAGATTGGTAATCACGGTATATGTTTGTTTGGCATTGCACAGAACTTCAGTCATTATACTTGCCAAATTACAGAGTAATATCATACCTTTTAGTTGATGAAGCAGTTATTTGCTGAGGGTAGTACTTTTAAGACATAATAAATGATGCTCAATTATTTATTTATTTATTATGTTTACCATTTGATTGGTGTAGCTGTTTGATTGATTTGGTTGTTCATTTGATTGTGTCCATCAGTTGCTGTCAATGTTTAGTAATGAAGTGACTATATGGTGAAAAGAACATTAGGTGATAGGTGTCCTTCTTGCTAATGTTTAAAATGCTGTGGATATTTGCAATTTGAAAAGAAAAAAACCCATTCCAACAATCCAATTATTGGCTTTTTTGCATATGATAGAAAGTCCCTGCATTTGGTTTTTAGGCATTCAGTCATCAGAATGAGAGTTGAATGGGTATGAACCAGCAGCAAATTAGTTCAAGTCTATAATAAGCAAAAATATATGGTTATAATTGTGCCAGGCCAAAGAAAAAAATAATTGTAGACAATTTGTCAACAAAAGGCCAAACTTATTTGTGATTGCAAATGTGTTATTTTGGTGTGTAAACCTTCATTTTCTGCTTGACTTTGACATCCTGCAACATTTATCTATACACTGGTTATAAATAAACTTTCTGCAACAGTTAATTATTCATAAAGTACAGAAAAGCTTAAATGATACACATCTACTGCCTTGCCAAGGAATGCATCCATTCACTTTATCCTACTTATATTGGAAAATTCAATAAAGACCACAACAAATTAACTCCTGTGACTTATTATTGGTAGAAATTAGGTTATTGTTTGATGAATGGTGAGATTTATTTGTTTTTGTCACCAGCTGGAGGGTAGAAGGAAGATTTCTTGAATACCATCAGATTTTTATGATTATATACGAAGATATAAAATGTGAATGCAATGAAGACTCAGTATAAGGGTGTATTCCCAGAGATTTAGATTGATCCAGGGATTAAGATTTAGATCGACCTAACTCCCTGGGGGTTCACGCTAAATTGCAGTCAGCCGAGCGCGCACCATAGTTAATTACCCCTTTACAGCTTTTAGTAGGCGGGGCAGACGCTTAAGACGGCTAAGCTGACAGTAATCTGGTGAGACTCCCCACAGGGATAGATCAATCTAAAATCTATGGAAATGGGGTCTTAGTGTGTGAAATGTAAATTAGTCATTTACTAGCATTTTGGCTAAATACAAAACGAACGGGGGGGAAAAAAAGGAACAATTCTTCTTGGTATTGTTTCCACAGTTCCGTCAAAAAAGAAAGGTTTGACTAAAATTCATTGCAGATGTACTCGTACAGAAACTGAAATTCCAAAATGGACCAAACATGCTGTTGCCTGCTCCGTTCACATTAAATTGTGTTTAGGTCTATTCTGGAAGTATATAGGGAATGCATAATAGCCCTTCATCTTATTGGAAGGCAGTGTTGCCATTAGATAGTCTAATCAAGTTACGACAGCCTTGTAGACTATGATTTATGTGCCGATTGGCTATGGTGCTTTTGTTCTATATTGTTGCATATCAGCAAAAATGTGAAAACAGCACTGCTTCAAAAAATTTTCCATACTGTATTTCTTTATTAATAGTTCTTTTGTAATTATCTTTTTCTTTTTAACTTCAAGATCCACATTTTTTTCTGACCAGTCGTTTGCCTTATCATTGTACAGATCCGTTATCTTTTTTATCTGCATTTATTTCTGCTTTTGATGGTATTGTGTATTTGTGTTTTAAAATTTGCTAATTTTACAATCATGTATCAGATTTTGTCAGTTATTTTGCCACTTTAAAACATGGAATAGTCTGTCATGCCATCCAGCCTCTTGGGGTTGCAAGTTAGCATTTACATGAAAAACATTTTCATTTATCTCCAAATATTTGTTGCTGACTGTGAGCAAAGCCCAAAAATATGTCCTTAGTTTTTCAAGATTTATTACTAGAGCAATCCTTATGGCATCATAAGCAGAGATTATATTAACGTATGATTATGTTTATATATTTACTTATTGAACTAAAATTGATTGTTTTTCCAGTTTGGCAATACTTGCTATTGCAACTCGGTGCTACAAGCCCTGTATTTTTGCCGACCATTCCGGGAAAGGGTGCTCCATTATAAACAACAACAAAAGAACCAGAAGAAAGAGAGCCTCTTGACATGTCTGGGAGATCTCTTCTACAGCATTGCAACACAGAAGAAAAAGGTGGGAACCATTGCACCAAAGAAGTTTATACAAAGGCTACGTAAGGAGAATGGTGAGTACACAAGCTTAGCTGTAATGGTTAAGTTACTATTGAGAAATTATTAAGAAACTGGACTTCTCTTTATCTAATTTTTGTGTCACTGTCACAACAATATTTCACCAGGCTGTGCTTCCTTGTCCATTAACAGAATAGCTGAAAATTTTGTAAACATAAAGCTAAAAAAACAGGGTAATAGATAATAATTTTCTTTGGTTAATGATTTTGTATAAAATAAACATTGGTGAGCAGATACGAATTGCTGATTCAGAAATATCTAGAAAAGTTTTTTTTGCTATATAAAGATCAAATGCCCATTGTGTGGCTTAATTTAAAAATTTAATCTCCTCCTCTATAAGAAGTTGCTGATAATTGACAACACATTTTGAACTAGGTTAAAGCTTTGCAAAAATGAAATAAAATCAAAAAGCATGTTTTATATTTTTATGAGAGTAATATAATAGTTATGATACTCTGATTTTCCCTGACTGGGATATTTCTTTATTTTTCAGAGGTGTTTGACAATTATATGCAACAGGATGCTCACGAGTTTCTCAATTACTTGCTGAATACAATAGCTGACTTGCTTCAAGGTACTTTTAATTATTGATTAACTCAAGACCTTGTGTAGAAAATCATATCATGTCCATTGCATGTACAGTAAGTATATTTCAAAGAAAATGTGAATTCCTTTGCTTTTGTCATAGTTTCTTTTTTGAGCTAAAATATTTTGAAATATACATTTTCTTTAAACAATTATCTGAATATGATTATTTTGAATGTTGGGCAAATGTTGCTTGCACAATTGTGAGAGATATCTCATCAGTCTATTTTTTCCTTCAGCTGACAAGCAAGGCACCAAACCTAAAAATGGTCCAGTGGACCCCAACCATCAGTGTAATGGCAAGCCTGAACCAACCTGGGTCCACGACATCTTTCAGGGGACACTAACCAATGAAACCAGATGTCTTAACTGTGAGACAGTGAGTATACAACATGTCACATCTGAATTAAATGGACATTTTTGAGTCTTTATACCTTGTTCTAATTTCTGGTAAACTCACCAAACTTGATATTTGTTTTAGATACGAGGATAAAAACTGTCTCAATTTAAATGGGGAAGATGCTGTTTTCATGCTGGGTTAAGTTTAATTTGGCATTTCAAAGAGTTGGATCACCCAAAGAAAACATTGGTTTAGGTATACAGGGCTTGACACTAACTTTTTTCGATACTGGCCCGCGATATGGGTAAATATTGCAAGGATGATTTGACACATGACATTTTACTTGGTCTTCGGGCCAGTGACCCCATCAATTCAATGGCCCTAGGTTGGTTTTCAGTGGCCCAGGGCCAGTGGGCCACCCTTAATGTCAAGCCCTGGTATAGCTAATGGCTTCTACATATTTTTACCCCTAGGTAAGCAGTAAAGACGAAGACTTCCTGGACCTGTCCGTAGATGTAGAACAGAACACGTCCATAACTCACTGTCTGAGAGAGTTCAGTAACACAGAGACCCTGTGTAGTGAGCACAAATACTACTGTGAAGTCTGCTGCAGTAAGCAGGAGGCTCAAAAGAGGTAACATAAGGACTTATTTGTTTGAAACTAATTTCATTATTTTAGCCCAAAAAAGGCCTTGATTCACCAAGGTATTTTATTGATTTGTTAATGCTTATGTTGTTAAGTATCAAACACAAGTACTCTATTCTTTAGCAAAACATTAAGTAGATTTCTGTAACTCTTCTTAATTTTATATCGTGGCTTATTTTCCATATGAAACATTGAAAATTATACTATTAGTGAAGCTGCAATTATCTCATCTTTTCAGGATGCGAGTGAAAAAGTTACCCCAGATTCTAGCTTTACATTTAAAGCGTTTTAAGTACATGGAGCAGTTGAATAGATATACCAAGTTGTCATATCGAGTTGTGTTTCCTTTAGAGTTACGACTCTTTAACACTGTAAGTCAAACACTTTTTAAATTATTTTTGGCATGATGTTTAACATTGTCAAATAACTCGTCAATTACATAAGATGATCACTTTTAAAGCAAATTGTTTTTTGAACAGCATTTATTTACATTTCTAAACAAATCTATGCCTTAGCAAAATTTCACATTAAATTCATATTTTCAAGGAAACAATTACTATGAATTACTGCTTTGTTGATGTGAAAAGTCAGGAGAGAGACAGAGAACTTTGAGATAACTTCCAGTCATCAATTGTCATTCATAGTTTATTTGATATTTCAGTCAGATGATGCCTACAATCCAGATAGGATGTACGACCTGATAGCTGTCGTAGTGCATTGTGGGAGTGGACCAAACCGAGGCCATTATATCAGCATTGTAAAGAGTCATGGCTTTTGGCTGCTCTTTGATGACGATATTGTAGATGTAAGCTAAAATTTGCATTTTAGTTATATTGATAGATTACTTATATATAAAGACATGAAAAACACTAGATAAACAGTAGAATATTTTATGCTGTAAAATGTAGTAAAATACTAGCTAATTTTTGCAATCATTTAGCTCAAATAAGATATTATTTGACTTTCAATCAATGAAAAGAGCTTTAGGTTTCACATATGTCCTGGATTCAGTTAATCTGATCACGGAAAAGTTCTCTATTTTTTTATCTACATCGTCACACTTCTCACTTATATCAAGTCATACACAAATGCACATAATGACATATTATATATTTGATTATTTTCCTTTCAGAAAATAGATGCCTCTGCAATAGAAGATTTCTATGGCTTGACATCAGACCTTCAGAAGAATTCAGAGTCTGGATACATATTATTTTATCAATCGAGAGAATGAAGAAAAGAAGGGGGAAGAATAGCTTGTGATATTTTAAGTAGAAGAGTTCATATACATAGTGTTTTCCTAATATTGTGGAAGTTATTTTATTGAAGGGGGATGTAACCATTATGATATTTCACTGTAAATGCTATAAAAACTTGAACCAAACGCTAAAATCAGTGATAGCTATTTAAATATGAGGTTTATCACATTATTTCTTCATTGAAATTGTGATTTACTAAGATAAAACTTTAAAATGAATAGACTGTGGCAATTATCTCTATTATCAAGGTGTATCACATTATAATCTTATATCACTTTCAATGGTGATACTAAACAGTATTTATTTAAGAAATTTGTTGTAAGGCAAAAAGTTTTGTTAAAGGTTTTTCTGAAAATGTTCACATGAAATATCTATTTGTTTTTAAATGACCACCTAACACAAAGCTCTTCCGAGCCTGCTAAAATTAATACAATTAAGTTATTATTATTATTATTATTATTATTATTATTATTATTATTATGGTGATGATTATTATAAAAGGGGTAATATGAAGGTTTCAGTTTCTACAATGTCTCATGTATACCAGTGATGTTTGCCAGTTGATACGCCATAGTGAATTTTTTTTTTTTTTTTTTTGAGAAATTAGTAATGGAAATTTATAAGTAACAAGGATTAATGTCCCATATCTGAAATGATTCATAACGAAGGTGATTTGTGAATGTTTCCAACTCTTTAGATTTGAAAATGTGATATATTCTGTTTATCATGCTATTGAAAAGAATATAGACCTTGGAATCTAAGCAAATGGTTAATCAAAATGGAAAACAATGCATAAAATAAGTATAAAAGTGACAACCCTGATTGTATGTTTGGTTTAGTGAAGTATTTGTTGGAGACTTATATACAAGACTCCAGGACTATTTTTGATGCATGGTTATGCTAAACCTATTTATTAACTTGTGTTACTGTGAAGTGAATGTTTTGGGATTTATTTCCCCAGTTATAAGATTTAAGCATAATTTTGTGTCATGTGCAGGGCACTTTTCCTTATGATTTAATATAAAGTAGATAGGTACATTCTTGTGCATTTAGACAAGAACATAAATTCAAAGCAACTTTTGACTAAAGAGCATTGTAAGATACCAAATTAACTTACCAATGGTTCAATTTGCTGAGATTGTCCTCTGCACAAAACTGCTCACAGTGATGTGTAGCTGACGTAAACCAAGAAGCATGTGTAAATTTTTGTAACATCTCGCATTACACATTCATTGATTTTTCTTTTCATTGAGAGTGGCATGCAGATTTTACAAACATTTCTTGGTTGGCAGAATGGTTTAAATGAACTAGCCTTCAACGATTTGTAGTGCAGATTTCTATAAAGACTGTTAAACCAAAGGTGGTTGAATATGTGGTCCATCTGTTAGCCTGGTAGTTTTATATGGAGGAAAAGTTACATGTATTTATCTTCTATGTCTAAGTGCACCTTATATTCTTAATATTGTACGCATACTGGAAACATAATTGTTACCTCATGCTATGCACTGTGTACAAAGTCAGACACATAAGAACATACAGACATTAGTAGTTAAAGGTATCAATATTCTTGATATAAGTCAAAAGGAAAGATTGTTATAAACTTAGTCTGTGGGATGGAAAAGGCTAAAAAATATCAAAAGTGCAATCTACACATTAAGATTTCTGCTCAGTTTGATCAAATGTTATACATTTCCATAAACATTGGTAAATCCTTGCAAACTGCATGTACTTAAAATGTTTGGTGCCACTCAATATATTTCGACTCTTATAATCATGTTGTGAGATTTGTGAAAAAAATAACAGATGGAAATATTGCCCATGGTGATATTGACAAATTATGAAAATATGTCTTAGACTAAAAAAAAAATATTTTCTCAAAGTTTCTCTCAATTTGATGGATATGGTGACTTCATGCTTTTGTTTGCATGTTATGTTGAAAGTCGTTAAAAGTTCCCAATTAGTGGCAATCACTTTAGGCCAATATGACACCCAAGTACAGTCTAGTGTTACATGTTGACCATGTGATATCACATTGAACAATGTGATGCTGTTTTACAGAATAAATTCCAAGTCAATTTTTGTTTGCCTGTGGCCCATACTATAATTAGGTCCAAAACTTCAAAGATGTGGTGAAATTTTAGTACATTATCAATTTAAATTTGTGAATTAGAATTATTAAAAACTTTTTATGAAGTTCACTACCCAAAAAGTATTGGCTTCATATATTGAGAAGTTGCAATTCCTACTGGAGAAGTTTCCAGCTGTGTTTTTTGTGAGATTTACACATTACATCACCTTGAACATTGTATGCTTCTCTTTTGTTTGGTGAAAGGTAATGCCTGCAAAACCAGGTAACCATAGTTTACTTGAGATCAATGTAAAATGTTAAACATTTGTACATAACTCTTTATTGTTATTACTGTAGATATCTGTACAAAAATACAATAAAATATGAAAACTATATTGCAACCAAGTGCTAGTACTGTTATTTTTGCTATGAGTGATACCAAGGAGCTTGCGTTTTCACTTCTGTATCTGCATATCTGTCACAAGCCCAACTCAAAAAGTTAAAAATGGAATTTTATGAAATTTTCAGGATAGATCAGAAATGAGTTAACTTTTAAAAGTGATAAGATTTTGGTGGTGATCCTTGGTCCAGATAATTGTCTGAATCCAAACTTTTAAAAGGATTTTTCACCACATGACACCAGACATGGGGAAATCTGCAGGTCCTAATTATGTGCTGATCTGAGATGGTGTTTTATTTCCATCAGCCTACGTTTACATGTGATTTATTTTGGTTTATTATATTTTCACATAAACTTTGCCAGTCCAGAGGACGTGTATAATCAAAAATCTTGGAGGTCCTCAGACTTTTCAGGCAATGTGATGGGTCTGACAGGCAGTTTTCCCATGTCAACTGCAAGAACATTTGGCCTCAACTTTTTATTTGCAGTATCTGTCTGCTTTCATTTTTTCCCTCCTGAAATTAAAATATTGAGATAATTTTATATAATTAAAATTATATAATCTCTATGACATATTAAAATAACTGTTTTCTCATATCACTGTTTAATGGAATGTCTCAATACTAACACACATTATCCCTGAGATATTCTTAAACATTTACAGTGGCTAGGGAGAGAGAATCATATACACAACCAAGTCCCCTAAAATGAAAGTAAACCCCACTTACACTTCAGAAATATATAACCCACCTGTCTAACATTGCTTCATGGAGTTCTCCACTCTTCTTAGCCTTTTTCAGAACTTTAATGTCCTCTTTTGATATCTTTAACTTTCGGTCTTGAAAACTTTGGAATTTCTTCCTGAATTAAAGAAGGAAATTTTATAAAACATGGTGACTAATTGACACAAACTTGGTGTAAGCATCTCATCCTTTCTCCTTCCAAGCAATCATTTTTCCATTCTTAGCTACAATCTATCATATACAATGTTAGAGTCTGATTTGCTTTAAATTTAAATATATCTACTTACACATAGTTGATTTCAGCATCTTTTATCTTTCCTCTTTCCTCTAATGGTATGTTGGCTTTTGGATCAACTTCTCTAGACAGGCAACAGCGCATCTAAGCAAATAAAGACAAACCTATGTCAAATAGATAGTCCATGAAAGCAGCACAATGAAGAATCAGCTGAATAAAATTCCTAGAATTAAATGATTAGATTATTTACTGTGTACATCATTTCCAAAATTACTATTTGAAAATTGCATTTTAACTGCGACTCTGCGAATCTTGTTTCAAATATCAAAGGGCACAAAACAAAACCAACCTTGACAATTTCACTCTCCCCAGCAACTTTGCTCTTACAAACTACATCTCCTTCTTCATCAACTCCTACAAAGCAGTCATTGCAGCCAAGCAACGCAAGTTTTCCCTGAAATGCAAGAAGCGACACTGCAGTTAACCAATTCTACCTTGTAATGTTAAACAATCATAGATTCTTGTGAAATTCAACACTGCTCAGTAAATGCTTCATTTTACAGTATTATCAACTTAAACAAACAATTACAAGTTTTAACAATCAAAACTAACCCTATCACACAATACCTACCTTTATCTGTCAAAGAAGATGCTGTCTTTCTTTTAAACTTTAAATCTACTTTTTCTAATTTTATCTATCTTATTCTAAGGATAACAATCTTACATCCTGAAATATTGGCTCCCACTGCTCTCTGGAACCAATAGCATCAGATCTGCCTGCAACTCTTCCAACAGAGTCCACTGAGATATACTTATCATAGCCAGACTTCAGGGCAATCTTGGTGTCTGTAACCTTAATGGCTGTCAAAATCTCCTCAGGATTAGGACCTTCTCCTGAATTGAAATGAAGTTAGGCCATCTATGAAATATCAATTGAGGATCGAGTGATTACTGTCCGTGACATTAGCCACTGGAACTAAGCTGGCAACCAGTAAAATTTTGTTTGTAATGGTAGATTTTTCAGAATGTGTGAATTTCTTGGTCTGACATGGCCATTAGAGTTTTTCTATTAAATTTCAAAAGTGCTTTCAGTATGTTTTAATTCTTTCTGAAATGTAACCGTTACATGATGATTTTATACTATCACTAATATTAATGCAATAGGGGAAAATGTTCAGTCTTATTACCTCCACCAAGGAGGTTATGTTTTCATCCCTGTTTGTTTGTTTGTTTGTTTGTCATCAACATAACTCAAAAAGTTATGGACCGATTTTGATGAAATTTTCGGGAACTGTCAGAAGTGGGCCAAGGAACAGATGATTAGTTTCTAGTGGTGATCTGGATCAATAATCAATCAATAATAATCAAAAATTGCTGCCTTGGCGGAGGTCTACGCTCTCCTGCTTTTCTAGTTGAAATTATTATTGGGATGCGTGAATCCTGATTCTGACCAGTAGGTTTTAGGAAAGTGGTGGTTCGAATGGTCAGTAAGCTAAAAAAAAGTTAATGGCACAGACTGTGATTAGATAAAATGTGCTTGTGGAACATGCATTACTGGTATACAAATTACTACAAATGATATTCCTTAAAATGTTCCTGTCATTTACAGTAAAAAAATAGCCTATACCACTTCTCCATTTGAGCCATGTCCAACTTCAGGCCTTCTGTCACAAATAAATGCTATGATGCTATGCTATGCTATGATTTTTCGATGATGTGACACAAAAATTATGCCATATTTTCTTATAACTGATGTCTGTATGTTTATTTTTTAGACACAATCTTACCTATCTCTCGTGTTGGTCCTACTGTAAACAAACCATTGTCTAAAGCTAACATATAAGCCATATTTCCCATTTCAATAGCACTGCTTCCTGCCTTAGCAATTTCCTCAAAGTTCTTCATTTCCCACCAGCCACCTGGAAAACCAAAAATTTCCATGATAAAACAAAACTGATGTGAAAGTGCTGAATGTCATAGGGTAAGATGTGAATGTGGATGTGATTGTGTTAGATGTGATAAGGTGGGTGATACTTAACACATTTTTCTTTTAAAATTCTTATGGTCACCATAAAGTTACTTTGTACATCAAACAATCCAATAGATAAAATACAATAAGAAAGACATCAACTGCAGTAAGTCTTAATCAATATATCATTGTATTAAAAAAGACTAGTGTAGCTATATATGTATTAATAAGACAAAATAATTTGATGCTTTACCATGTTTCACAGCATCTTCATCTTTCACAACTTCACCATCAGAATCATCATCTCGCTTCCTCTTCCTTTTCTCCTTCTTGTGTTTCTTGTGACTTTGTGAAATATAACAGGACAATTAATGCATTTTTTGTTTAATAGATTTTAATAAAATATTTTCAAATTACCAACATTTAGAAGGACCTAAGGCCCATTACAAACTTGGAGTTGAACAATCTGTGACTGTGGTAAATAATTGTAAACCTACATTTACCAATAATAGTAAATTTCAAACAAACAAGCAAAAAAAAGAGTGTAACTGCATAATTATAGTTTAAGATGTCTTGGGCTAAATATAAAATATTGTCCTATAAATTTGACAGTGCAGGCCTAAAATTAAGTTTAGGATGCAATCTAGCACTTGTATATTTACATTTTGTATTTACTTTGTATATGTACATCACAGAGCTATAGACTAATCCACACCATGGAACTTAGGGCCGATTCCCACTGAAGCTATCAGTCTCCATAAATCAATCCACTGCCGCAGGGACTCTTATAGAATGCAATAAGTTAAATAGATTTATTAAAAACACGCCGCCTCATGGCATTGATTTGAGGTCAGTAAAGCTGTGATTATACTAGCACTTTGGAAACAAGAAGAAGTTGTTTAATCTGTTTAACTAATTGGACTCAGTGAGACTTCCCAGGGAGTTGCATGAATTGATGTACAAAGACAAATACAGTAGTTTCAATGGGAATGAACCCTCGGATTTTCCTGCCTACTCCGGATTTTCCTGCCAAACACTTTTCCTCAACCTAATAAAATAATATTCTTCTTTCACAAACAATTGAACAAATCTATCCCTGCTCTTGCATTTAATGTTTTATCATATTTCATATTGAACAATGAAGTTCTAAATAATTTGCCCATCACTAGGACTGTAATGCTGATCTTCTTGAACATTTGAGAAGGAAATATTGACTTCACATCAGGCTCTTTTATTTGAGAAATCTTAATGTTTATAGAGTCTACATTGCAAAAGATATATAGCTTCATAGGTAAGTAGACACAGATAATGACTTCAGTAGTTTGGGGAATGTTTAGGGACATATCATAAAATTAGATTGTATATATTTTAGTAAATAAATGGAGAATCAAATTAAATTTGAATATTTAGGCCACAAAGTTGTTGTTAGTAGGTTGAATTCTCACAAAGAGATGCACTACAATGTGCATATTTACTTCTATTTCTGTACTTTTCCCTCTAATTCAAAGTTGACTTAAACTTGACATATTACACTAACACTAGTAACAGGCGTTGAAATAGGTATATCACAATCTGCTAGGGGCGCAACATTAGTAACTACAAGGTATCCTGGGGCAGTGAAGTGCGAAACTGATACCAGCCTGCTGACAGCTCGCCTATGACACCCCTTTTTTCAATCTCTCTTTTAGCGCTGCATAAAAAAACTAATATAAGCCATTAACTAAATAAGCTGTAAATCAAAGAGTAAAATCCGGTCAAGTGATTTTCCCGTGTTGCAGTCTTTGAGAAGTTTCAGTTCAGGGCGTTTGAAGTTTTGCCTCAACAAAATGCTCAAAAAGGTCAGGTAATTACTGGTTGGAATTTTTTTTTAAATTTATGATGAATAAAGTACATGAAATTTGCAATATTATGTAGAAAAATCGTGAAAATTAAACCATGTGAATTAAAGTTTATTTGATGCGCAATATTTATAGTATACTAAGCATGATCTGCACGGAAGCCATCCCAGCCATGTGCTTGTGCAGTCGCCAATTTGGGTTTGTTTCCGGGTCATTAGATTAACATAGAGCCCTAATTGCCCTAATTGGTCACAAGCAATTTGAGCTGCAGCTACAGCTGAGTGATCACTGCTGGTCAGTGGTCATGGGTCTTTAGCTGAAGAGTGTGGACACTTTTGGTGAAATTTTGCAGTTAAAAAATTTCAATATCTTTGTTGCTTGTAGGAATATTTTAAAAATTTCAAAAGAATTCATCAGTTTTTTGCATTACCTTTCAGAAGATATAAGTATTATAATTTTCTGATCAGTTTGAACATTTTTCTGATATAGCTAGTTGAAAGATTGACTCTCATTCACATTAGACCTACCTTTTGTGTCCTTTCAGTTTAAGTTTGCCACCTTTTACCAAAGAATATGAGTCTGCCATGACATAAACTTTACAGGATTTAATATACAGGGGCCACCGTCTTCGTAATCACTGTGAACAATTCAAATAAGATAGACATACAGATTTTACCCAAAGCTACATGGGCGCATCCATATTTGTTCTCGCGAGATCTCTGGCGCAAACGGTGATCAAAGAGGTCCTCAGTTTTTAGGTGGAGAACGAATGGTGTTGTTTGTTACATCTTATGTGACATGCTCCATATAAATCACAGAGTGAAAACATAAAATTTTATATATTCAAATACATTGATTTATTTGTTAATAGCCATGTATGCCTTCATTAGCTATTTTGTATGGCTTTATTATATTTTATTTACATGGAGAGTTTGGTCATCATTTTTCCCCTCTGCTAGTCCCAATGTTGTAGGACCCTTACGCCAAGGTAAACAAGAACCTTGGCACGCGTGCTTGGACATTTCAGGTCGTCCACTAGCCTTTGCGTAGCAGGTATATTCCATCGGATATTATCAATTAAATCCATAGAGAGTAATAATGTTGAGTAATATTTACGTCTTTGCTCTGAAGATTGAGATATTTTCATATTACCACCGTTTGGGTACGTGGCAATAATTTATAAAGTGTTTCCATATGCAATCGTAAAGTTAACCCAAGTTTTTCTTTGCTCACTTACATGTATGTTCCTGTATGTGTGTATGTATGATCCTGCCCCCCCCTTTCTTTGCAGTTAAGTTTTAAATTGTAGTTGAACATGATAATGGTTTCCTTAGGCAGAAAGTCATTACAAATAATTGGGCAACCAATCCCACTTAACATACATGTATGTACGGTATATACCAGTATTAATTATTGGTGGTACAGTATGCAGGGATTTAATTTTGAATTTTATTTTAAAGCTTATTTTGACAAGTCTGTTCATTTGTATTTTTAGCAGAATTACAGCTTGTACCATGTCGAGGAGAACAGCACTTTTGGTGATTGACATGCAAGGACGATTTAAAGAAATTGCAGAGAATGGGAAAATCATAGAAAACATTGCCAGTTTGGTCAAGCTTTTCCATAACAAGGACCTCCCTGTGGTCTTTACGCAGCACCACGATGACCCTAAGATGACCTCAGTGTTGTCAAGGTGGTGGAACAACCCTATTATCAAAGGTAACATAATTGCAAATTATAAAGCAAATATGATTGGCAGTACTATCTGTTTTTTATTAAACCCTTGATTTAATTTCATTTATAAATTCATTTACTTTCTTTGTTTTGTTGGCATATCCGTATGTGATTTTATTTGTAACTTTACATATTACTAGATATTCATATTACCCTGAGATTACCCAAAAGTTTTAATTGTGTTAATCAGGCACTGAAGAATGGCAGATCATCCCAGCTCTACAGAAGGTCCTGAATGTCGAAGATGACATCATGATCACAGAAAAGAGCCGTTATGATTCATTCTGGGAAACCCCACTGAAAAGCAAACTACAGGAACTGGAGGTAGACACTGTGGTCATCACTGGCACCATGACCAACCTGTGCTGTGAAACAACTGCTCGTGTGGCCTTCAACAATGACTTCAATGTCATTTTCCTCAGTGACTGTAATGCCACTTCAACAAAGGAGTACCACGAGGCTGCCTTGAAAAACCTGGCATTTGGTTTTGCAACAGTGATGACACACAGAGAATTTTTGAAGAAATATGAAAATGTTTAAAAGAGAAAACTATATTTTCATCTGTTGACATACCAGAGGATTATTTTATAATGTATACTAACAACTGCGAATGTATTTTTCAATTTTACATTTTTTTTTCAATTATATAACATATGCCTGACCATGACATATATATATAAATAAATATCTGTGAGTTTAGATAAAGAAAGTTATGAATTGTTAGATTAATGATTGCTGACAAAATTTTGTTTGTTTGTTAATTATTGTTAATTTATAAATATGATTTTCCTATTTTGCTCTCTTGTTTCAGATATTGTTTCAAGAAAAAGCTCGTGCCATTTGGTATTTATCATCTCAGCTTTATAACTTACATTTGTTTGACTTATCAAATAATACA